ACAAATTTTCTTATAGGAGATTTATCCATATTAAAAATTTTAATCGATGTTAAAAAAAAAAAAAAAAAAAAAAAAAAAGAGATTTTATTTATGAAAAAGATACTTTTCACAAAAGACAGTAAACCCGTGGAAAAAGCCATATGTGAGATTTTGTCAGGTTGATTAATGTCTTGCTGAAATCGGAAATAGAGATAAAACTGTGCGGGAACTACCTGTGATGTTGGAAGATATAAAAGTAAAGCATTGAAGGACAAATTTATTACTGAAATGAAGAAAAAACTTAAAGACAGGGCTAAAGCAGATTCAGGAGTATATACAATGTGCGATGACATTCTCATGTATGGCGAAAGAGTAGTGTTACATTTGTGACAGAGAGAGAGTCTGGGAAAAACACACATGTATATTTTTTTTTGTGAAATTGGAATAGATTTGAATAGCGAAATTAAATCAGAGCATTTTGTTTAGTGATGAGGAAATCTGATCTAGGGCAGAAGTTGTACCCATTGAATCTGGGTCATCAAAAAATAATGGAAATGGTCGAAAATAATTTTTATCGATTAAAAATTGAAATAGAGCTGAGTAAGCTAGAAGGAACTTTGAATTCACATGATTTTTTGTTGAAGCAGCCAGAACCCTGTGATAATCGCGTGCAAAAAGTAGTAGGGCTGAGGTCAGTTATAACCAGCCGGGTTTATCTATATAAACGTGTAGTTATGCTGAAAAAGGTAGACTGGAGAAAATTCTAGAAGAGAGAATTGGTCCTGGTGAGCATTGGGAGGAGGAACACCACTATAACTTTAAGCCCCGCACAGAAATCTTTATCTCTCCATCGCAAGAGTCATATATCATTCTGAGATGATTTAACAAGATAATCACATACACTCTCTCTCTGTCTAGAATCCAGTGCATGAGTTGTTTTACTTTTCTGTAACCCGTTTCTCTTCTCTACTATTCTTTTCTGCTATATAAGACATTAACAATTCAACCATTGAATTGATATTTGTCTGGCTTTCTGCAGATATTAATTTTTTTTTTGCTGCATTTTAAATTTCTTAGCACAGATTCCCCCAGCCATGTCTACATCTTCAGTCAACTGTGAATGGACGGACATCACTTCTGCTTTCTGGATCAAACAAATCACAACGTGGGCAGGAGGCAGGATTAAACCAGTGGACCGGTCGAATAATCTAAGGACGCTCAGAGGACCTATGGCCACTCCCTTAAGTTCGGTTAGGACCGAGTAGACACCTCAACCCTGAGAGTAAGACGCCAGAGGTTGAGGGGCCGGGGCAAAAGTGTTAGACATTTGGCACTACAAAAGAGAACCGTGAAAGAATTTCATGCAGGAAATCCTGGTATATCCAGAATGAAAAGCTTGATGAGAAGTTATGTATACTGGCATAGCATGGATAGAGACATTGAATGTCTGGTGAAGTCATGCAAAGGTTGTGCTTTGGCAGCTAAAGCACCACCAATTAAGTTCAAATCCATGGCCAGAAACTGACTGCCCATGGCCATGTCTGCATGTTGACTTTGCTGGTTCACTTAAATGGGCATATTATCTAATTGTCGTAGACAGTTTTTCAAAGTGGCCAGAGATATTCAGATGTAAGAAACCAACCACACAAGTAGTAATTCAGTTTCTACACGAACTGTTCACGAGGTTCAGAGTACCAGATTCGATTGTGTCAGATAACGGCATTCGGTTTACATCCAAAGAATTTAAGAAATTTTGAAAAATGTTTGTGGTAGGGCACATAACAATTGCCCCTTACCATCCTAAAAGTAACAGTCAGGCAGAGCGTTTTGTAGATACCTTTCAAAAGAAAAAAAAAAGCCATCAGTGGATCCACAGATGCTGCATTACAGCAATTTTTTCAGGTGCATAAGCTTACACCAAATAGAAATGCACCTTCGGCCATGACTCCAGCAGAAATTATGTTTTTGCAAAGAATATGATCAGTTTTTGACAAACTTATACCTAATAAGAAAGAACATGATCATGTGGTACAAAAACATGAAAAAATGTTTTATAAAATTGGTCAAAAGGTTTTTTTACCATATGTACCAGTCAAATAAAGCATATTGGGAACTCGGAACTGTCGTCCAAAGAATTGGCAGGATGGTATATCTAGTAAAAGGTCCACAAGAGGCACTATAATCAAATTAAAAGTAGGTATTCAACTGAAAAGAACACTACTCTAGAGAAGGTTGAACCTATGGAGGTTCTTTTTGATACTTTCAATGTAGCCATCCTTCAGAAAGCTCTGGTGAAAGAAGTCCAAAAGAGACAGAATAAAAGAAAAAGAAGTGATATGAAAAGGATCGAAGTCAACCCAAAAAGGAAAAAACATTAACCCTGTACAGAGTAAATCCAAAAAGGGGTGGGGGGTTGTAGCATACTTATGGATGATAATGGGTATGTCCCCATTCACATAAATACAACATTAAATACTGTATGTCGATCTGCAATTGGAGATTCATTGTGAAATTCAGTTGACTACTTCTTCTATGTGCCACTGGCAAATCTTATATGTGTTGTTCTTGCCCTAAGTATTATCGTTCATTACCAACCATCATTTGATTATTCTATTCAGTAACCTTCCCTAGATTACAACAGAGAATAAAACAAGAATTTAAAAACATTTTAAAAATTCATGAAAATTTAAAATTTTTTATAAAGCTATATAAAATTGGCAGTACTCATGAAAATTTCAGCTTTCCTACTTGAATTTTCTGATGAATCATAATTCTTAATTTAATGATTAAGCTCCTTTCAAGTTTCACGGCTATAAAATACCTATGGAAATTCCCTTATTGCATTGTTAAATATTTGAGCTTAACAACCTTAATAAAATATTGCAATAGCGATCATAATTATGAGTGCAGGTTATTAAAGAAGTAAGAGAGTAAAAAATAAAATATTAAAAATTGGCAAGAGCATTATTGTTTCTTTTATCTTCCCTTTCTTTATTATGTTTACTTTCTTTTTCTCACTAAAACCAAACAATATCTGTTGTATATCATTTTTCCATCTTTCCTTACAAAACAGAATGGCTTAATAAATTTATGGCTTGTAAATTTATCTTTTTTATTTATCTAAGGTAATGGCAGGGTGTAATGAATGTTGCTAATAAACAGAGGAACAAACACAAATATGAAGTTATATTTTATTTTGTAATTTAGAGAAAATTTCAAACATAAAATGATTGCCTTTGTGAAAAAATTCAAATAATTTTAATTCTTCATGAAATTATCTTCTCAAACATGCAAATTAAATTTTTTATATCAACTGAGTTTCTTTTTTTTTTATAAGGGAACCTTTTAGTGAATAAATTCAGTCACTGATGTAGTAAGTCTAGAAAGTTTTATTAAATTTCAATAATTAACTGAATTTCTGTACATTTTTAGAAAGCAGAATTATCAAATGTTCAAATTCTATTTCTATTGAATTTTAATAGTAATTTTTTTTTGTTTTTTAACAAATGAAACATTTTAAACACAAATATTTTCATTTTTGTATATCGAGCAAAAATATTTATATCAGAAAATTTCCCAATTCTTCTTTATAATTTATGAAAATTATGAAGAAGTTTTCCCAAGCAATTTAAATTAATTTTGAGTCAAGGAAATCAATCTAAGTGTAAGAATGTCTACTGTATGGCTAGTTTTGAATGTAATAGATTGATTGCTTGCTATATGTTATCATTTGGTGTCATATGAAAAACAAACATTCTTTGTTCTCTGTGCATTTGTATGTACCTTTGGATGAGTGGTAGAAAAAATAAAACAAAAATAAAGGACAGGAAAGAAAATGTCTGTGTTTACATTACAATATAAACATAATCTGAGTTTTGTATCTAACACATATTTCTTAATTTAATAACACAATTATTATAATGCAAAACTTTGATGACTGAAATTTGTTAAATGTAATTTAAACATTTTCTGAACATTATCTTAACCATTTATCGTATACAAAGCTCCAAAGCCAATTTGATATCAGTTACAGTATTTTTGTCTATGCTGAATTTTGTCTGAAGCTGAGTCATAGGGAACCTGTAGTTTTATCTTCAGAATTAAATGAGATTTATTAACTGAAAGGGAAATTTTAATTTCAGAACATGTTAAACACACTCTTTTTCAGTATTTATTTTTTTTACTAGTACAATTCCTAATTAACTAGTACAGAAAATGATTCATTGGATTTAGAAAATACTAATTTGACAACACTTAAGAAAAAAATAATTGTTTAAGATTCATTTTAGAAAAACCAGTCCATTTTTATCAGTAAATGTATTTTTCTGATGTATTTTAATCTGATTTGTCCCAAAACGTTCCTTTCAGAAATGTTACACCTTTTGAAAAAAATTAAATTTTATAAAAGGACTGTGTGAAGTATTTCTAAACTGAAGGTCCGATTTAAAATTATATGTATAATGCAAAATTGAACCATTACCTTATGACAACAGATATGAAACTTACAATATAAACTAAGCTGAACCATGATTTTGTGTTTGTCTTTATACAGACATGTGAGAATATTTATAGTAAACCTTTAAAAAATATAGGGGTAGTATTAGGGATTAGAGTTTTTGTAACACTGAATTTCTAGTTTCAGAGAAAAAGAAAAAATGTAAATTTATCTTTTTTATTTTTCTTAGAATTCTGTACTTAGATATTATGAACTAATGAAAAAACCTGTAACTTGAATGAAAATGGACACAAATTAATGGTCCAATTATATTTACATTGTAAATCAAACAGCAAAAAAGAAAAAAAATTCTGAAGAAATGAAGATTATTCATTTAAAGCGCATAAAATACTTAAGAAAAATCTATTTTCCTACCAAAATGCACTGATCTACAAAAACAAATCTATTTAGGAGTGGTGAATTAACTACAATGAAATGACATCTTACATGCTGCCAAAAAATTGTAGGAAAAAACGAGATACCATTATTGGAGTATAAATATATTGAGAAAAATCTAGCTTCTTACCTTGTGTTATTTTTAGATAAATTCACAACTTCAACAATTATATTCTGAATATCTTGTGGAAGTAAGTTCAAATTGCCAATCAATCTAACACACACACCATGTTTGTTTAATTCATCTCTGAAATAGAGAAAAACAGAAGTTTCAATCTTTAAAAGCAAGTTTTTGTAATAACTTAATTACAAAAAATTATACCAAAAAGTCTATCTAAATATATTTTAAACTTTTTCATATATTCTTTGTTTTTTAAACATATATTACATAAACTAAATAATTTTTTTATGCTTTTTCCTAGAAGGAAGAAATTTCCTTTTACCTTCTGAAAAACACTTGTCTTATTGATTCTTAACTTATAAAAATCTGTTGTTCTAATCTCATAAAGGAATTTAAAGAAGAAAAAAGTTGTTTTTTGGGGGTAAAACTGGGTATAATTTACGTCTTACTATTTAATAGACAATGATCTTACTTGTACAGGAAGGTGCTTAAAATTTCTTTGCCTGACCAAGAGGAGATCAAAAAATAATTCTGATGTTTGGTAATTAGGTCAGATTTTTAGATGTATGTCTAACCAAGAACATTTCATCACTTTATATCATTAATTCTCTGATTTGTGTACATGACAAACAATGCACAGTATTGAGCAGTACTAAAAAATAAAAATTAATAAGCAAATGTATTGTTTGTACTTACTTTTCTTCTAACAAGCGTTTAGCTCTTTGCCGAGCTAATTCCATAAGGCAGTCAACCTCTTCCTTGGACCTTTTGAAATTGTCAATGCTGAAGGCATACACAGTTACCTCAGAAATTCCAAGATTTAGACACCATTCCAACACCTGAAATTGTAAAGTAGGGTTCTAATTTGCCAAATTTAATTCTTCATAAATCTTCATATAATTATAAGTTGTTTTTAAACTTATTTATATTTTAGTATGGTGTCTTTCAAGCCATTTTTTTGATAGATTTTGAAATAAGTTGTGCCTGAAGCCTCAGATATATTTTCAATTTAATATTGCTAAGGTTTCTGTAATTGCTTTCAAATTCTTGTAATAAAAACCTTTGAGAAAATAAAAAATAAGTTTCGACAGTTGAAGCTACCAGTCAAGTAAATAAAATATAGATAAGAGTTTGAATGTTTTAGAATTTACTCAAAACATGTGACTCATTCAGTGAAGACATCAGTAAAGTCTTTTTTATTAAAAAAAAATCAGTTTATTCCAGTTAGTTATGTTGATTCATAGAAGTGAACAGAAATTTTGTCTAAAATCTTTCCAAAAGAACTTTTCATGGGAAAATCAGTGAACATAATTAATAAGATCTTTAACAAAACTTTTGTTTCACTGCAAGTATATATGTCACTAGGGAACTTCCCAGAAACATTTAATTTTTATATAATTAAATCTATGTTAACAAAGTTATATAAACCTAACAGAGAATATGAATTTTATTTATTAATGTAAGATAAATTATACACTTTATATTTAGTAGGATTATCAAGTTAGGAATTAAATGGGTAAATTTGGAACAAATAACAAAGGTTAATATTCTGCTTGCACACTACAAATGTATTTTATTGCCTGTAAACTCCCTGTTTCTATCATTATACAATGAAACAAAAACTGTCATAGCAAAGTTTAATTAAATCCCAAGTTCTTAACATAATTGAAATTAATAAAATGAAACCAAACAATTCATTTTCAGCCATGAAAGAAAATTATTGATAAAAATTCAGATGATATCTGATATGGCCTGGAAAGGGATATATTTGTTCGAAGTAGCAAAGTGACTGTTGACTACTGTAACTGGCTAGGACAATCTAGCAGGTAACTGTAATGGACTGGTCCTCGTCGTAGTCAATAAGTGAAGACAATAGGCGTAGTCAATAGGCGTCATCCTGTACCTCCACCTCAGTCTGTATTTATGGCTGACACCAGCCAATCATATTACTGTGAGGGGGAACCCAGATGTATGCATATTCATTACATCACCTCCCCCCGAGCTAAATTTTCCCATGAAATTTAGCTTCAATATTTTCTCTTTTTAGGGTCTGGACTTAATCGATTGATTTTTTTCTTAAGTCATTTTTGCCTCAATCCTCCTTGCAGTGGTAGTGTTTGACACATTGGTACCCCTGGCCTTGAGGTCGGGGATACCTCCATTGGCGAATGTTGACTTACTGGAACAGGTATTTCAAATGCATCATACAGGACTCCCATTGGAATCTCTTCAATATTTTCCATGACCTCTGTAGTGTGTCTGGGTCTCAATTGATTCCAATATCTTTTGCACCGAAATCTTTCCCCTTTTATGTCATATATGACCTGTCCAATTCTTTTGGTTATCATTCCTTCTTCCCAATACATTTTTCCAGCCTTAAAGTTCTTGAAAAAACTTTGTCACCTGGCTTATATGCTTTAGTCATCTGGTTTTCTTTTTTAGCAGTTTTCTTCACCGGACTAGGCACAGAGCGTATTTTTCTTGCAAACATTAACTCTGCTGGTGATAACCCTGACGTCGTATTCAGGTTTGGCATGATTCTATATACTGCCAAAAATTTCTGAATACTTCTTTCACTCGTGTTCAAGCCATAGTTTTTCTTCATTCGTTTAAAGGTGTCTACGAATTTTTCCACCTGTCCATTCAATCTTGGGTGATATACTGGCATTGTCATGTGATCAATGGACAATGATGTACAGAATTCCTTGAATTCTCTTCCCATAAACTGCATTCCATTGTCGCTGACTAAAGTTTTAGGGAGTTCAAAGTGACTAAAAATTTCATTAAGTGCATTTATTGTATTTGTTGCAGTCGGATGTCTGCACGTAACAATTTCTGGCCACTTAGTGAAACTGTCCACAATGATCAGGTAATAAGATCCATTTATGGGCCTGCATAGTCAATATGTAATCGAGTCCATGGGACATCTGTCTTTGGCCATGGTTGAATCTTTACCGGTGGATCCCTTGTTGCCAGTTGACATCCTCTGCACTGCTTCACCAAATTTTCTATGTCTTGGTCCATCCTCGGCAAATAAGTATAGCCTCTCATTAGAGATTTCATTCTCAAAATCCCTGGATGGTCAGTGTGAAATTCTTTCAGAATTTTCTTTTGCAGAGTAACCGGCATTACAACTCTATCTGCGTATATTAATACCGGTTTGCAGATTGAAAAAGGTGACACATTAATTTTTTTTTTAGTTTTCTCGTTCAACCAGACTTGCTTTTTCATTTTTTTAATGAAATCATCGTTCACCGTTGCTTTTTTCACATCTTCTAGTGTAACCGGTAGTTCTCTAATAGTGTTGCATAACAGACCCGACAATTCACTTTCGTCCCTTAGCGCCACTATTACTGTTTCTTCCAGTGGTTCCGTATATCTAGGTATCAATCTTGATAACCCATCAGCGTGACCTAGCTTCTTTGAAGGCACATATTCTATTTTGAAATTATAATACAATACACCGCTGTAGTCGATTTACCGTGTGATTTGGTATACCTTTTTTTGAACCAAATATTGTTAACAGAGGTTTGCAGAATAAATTCTCTTCCGTATAGAAACCTGTGAAATCTTTTTACAGCATAAATTATTGCTACTCTCTTTTTCGATTTGACTGTAACTTCGTTCCGCAGGCAGTAATGTTCTCAAGACATGTGCTATTGGCTTTATAGATCCATCCTCAATTTTATGAAGCAATACCGCACCTAGTCCCTCATTACTGGCATCTGCTGCTACAATGATTTTCCTCTTCAGGTCAAAATGTACTAATGATAGATCTGCTAATAGATAGCTTTTTATTTTTTTAAAAGCCTGTTTGCATTCTTTCGACCATATCCACTTTGCGCCCTTTTTCACCAAATTATTTAAAGGAGCTCTTATATCATACATTTTTGGGATATAAACGCTATAGTAAGTTACTAATCCTAAGAAGGCCTGGAGTTTAGCCACATTATCAGGTGCTGGCATATTTTTTATAGCCTCAGCCCTTTCTGGATCTAGTTTTCTTCCTTTACTGTCAATGATCTACCCTAAATATTTTATCTTCTTTAAGAAGAACTTGCATTTTTCAGCACTCAGCTTGAACCCATATTCCTCAATTCTCTGAAATACTGCTTTAATATGTGTTTTGTGTTGGGCCTCGTTTTCACTTTTAATCAAAATATCATCTAAATACGTGATTGTATACTCCATACCAGCCAACATTGTGTCTATTATTTGCTGGAATAGGCTTGGAGCTACCTTCAATTTAAAAGGAAGATGATTTAATTTAAAATTCCCTTTATGCGTGTTTATTGTCAGGTACTTCGAACATTCTTCTCTGACTTTAACCTGAAGGTAAGTCTCTGACAAGTCCAACTTTGAAAACATTCTACCTCCATTTAATTTAGTGAATATATCCTCCGGAGACAGTAGAGGGTACACATGGTCTTTCACACAATCATTTAAGCCTGTCAAAAAGTCAGCACAAACTCTGATTTTTTGGTTTTTCTTTTTTATATATACGGTTGGAGACGCCCAATCTGAGTAATTGACTTTTGAAATTACGCCAATTTCTCCAACCTTTCTAATTCCTCATTTATTGTCTAGTGCCAAATATGGTACTTTTCTTTTTGGTTTAAAGATTGGTTTAACATTTTCTTTCAATTCGAAGTTGACTTCTGTTTTTGTGCACAGACCTAGTCCTTCTGAAAAAACAAGAGAGAATTCGCCTTTCAATCCGTAATAAATCTTTCTGTTTGCTTCGTCTTATAGTTCTCTATGATGTTAACTTTTTTACAGAAAGAATTTACTGGTAATTCCCATAAATTAAGCAATATGATCCAGTCTAAACCAAAGAGGTTAACTGAACCAGGGAGCACATACACTTTCAATTTGTGAATTTTTCCCATGAATGCAATATTACATTTTAATTCACCTCTAAACTTAAGTTTTTTTCCTGACACTCCCCCGGAAATTTTGTCTGTGTTAGTCAATTTTAGATTTTTTTCCATGTTTGCTAGTTTATTACCAAGATATCACTTCCTGAATCGAGTAATAATTTTACGGTCTGCCCATTTATTTTTACATTGAGGTATTTGCTTTGCAAAATTTCGTTTTTAGACAAAACTACGTTCACCTTTCTTTGAGACTTTGCTTTTACTTTTCTCTGTTTTTCCCAACAATGGGAACTACTATATTTGTACATTCCCACAATTAAAAACATATTTTATCCCTAAAGAAACAATCTTTCTTTATATGCTGTCCTCCACACAAACTGCATATAATTTTTCTTTCTTTATTTTGTATCCACTTCTGTTGTCTTACAGTTTGTACTTGCAAAATGCTCTTCTCCTCAATCCGAGTATTATCTTTTTTTATGTTTATAAGTCGCTGACATTCTTCCGTTATTTTTTGTAGTGTAATCTTCGGATCCTGTTCCATGACAGTGAGGATACTTGATCTAATTTCTTTGTCCTTCGGTGTCATTAGACCCTGCACAAAAATTAGACACTTGAACATGTCACTTGACAATTCCTTTAATTTAAACGCCTCACACTGTGTGTTAACCATACCTGCATATGTGACAAAATCATCATCATCTTGTTTTACTATATTTAGATACTTGTATCATGTAGGAAACAGACTCTTATCAAAAATTTTCGATAAAATTTCTACTGTTTCGCTGAATGTAATTTCTTCTGGCTTCTTTGGGAAGATTAAATTCGCGTATTTTGTATTTTCTTCTGTTCCCAACTTCTGCAACAATATAGTCATTTTTTCCTCGTCAGACCATTGTTTGCATCTTTTCATAAATATTGTTTCAAACTTACAAAAATAAGCCGGAAATGTTGAACCACTGTCAGGGTTGTATTTAAATTCAGAGAGTGAATTTGCAATTCCTTCAGTAGAAAAAAATCTAGAACCCGGTTCTTTTGTTGTCCTAGATAATACGTCTTCCCAAAGTGGCTTTATTGTCTTTTGCCTGTTGTTTGGATAACTTTTCAAACCTTTCTTGTTGCTGAATAAATTGTTGTTATTATTGGAATTGTTGCTGTAAAATGGCTTGTAGCACCTTAGTTAATTCCGCAATTTGTTCCATTCCACAAGAAAAAATTTTACTCCAATTTATGGAGACAATAAAATCTCATCTCCAACTGATATGTCCCGGAAAGGGATATATTTTTTCGAAGTAGCAAAGTGGTTCTTGACTACTGTAACCAGCTAGGACAATCTAGCAGGTAAATGTAATGGACTGGTCCTCGTCGCAGTGGTAGGCAATAGGCGAAGACAATAGGCATAGTCAATATGCATCATCCTGTACCTCCACCTCAGTCTGTATTTATGGCCGACACCAGCCAATCATATTACTGTGAGGGGAACCCAGGTGTATGCATATTCATTACACTAAATTCCAACCTCAAACTTATTCACTAAAATACTTAGATCTTCAGAAGAATAGTATAAATATCTACCTTATGAGGTTTTTCATCTACAACAAATGAAATAAATAAACCATAATTGGGAAGATTGTTCACCACAAACAGTTACACAGCAATCTGTATTATTTAGAGAAAATGTTTGAAAATTGAACAAGCCCTCTTATTTGTTGATAGCTGATTCCTAACTCCAAAGCTACTGAAATATGATCATATGAACAAAAAAATAACAAAAAAACTTTGCTCTATATTGACAAAACCATTGTATATGTTAATTTGTACAACTTTGTATTATAGATTTTAAGTTTTACAGGGAGAAATATTATAAAACTTAATTTTTATTGAACTCTTCAATTATGTTATTTTCCATAATTAGACAACAACAACAAAAGCCAAGCAATATAATAAAAAATTTTTACAGAAATCTCTTGCAATATTGTATACTTGAATTATGACTGAAGATATTATGAGAGGAGATGCTGAAAAGTTCTCAGACAGACTAAGAAATTCTTCCAAAATTAAATCTGATGTTTGGTTATTTGGTAACATTTTGGGAAATGGGTCAGTTCAAAGACTTTTCAGCAATTAATCTAAGAAAATCCAATTCTTATTAAAAGAAAGAATATCTCTTACCTCAGCAAGTTTTTCAACTCCCCTCATATGCCCTTGAGAGCGTTCAATGCATTTCTTAGATGCAAAGCGCCTGTTGCCATCCATAATAAAAGCTACATGTTTGGGGATTGGTCCACTCTGTAGAATCTTGCCACATAATCGTTGAAACCATGTTGTAGAATGGTTTTGAGGAAACCATTGGAGATCCATGATATGAACACTGGAAGCAAGTGAAAGATATAAAGTCAGAGAAAGTCATAGTTTATTCCACTATGCTTACAATATTGTACAGAATCAAAGACAGTAACCTACTTGAACAATGTTTTCCCTATTTGACTCAGAGATCCTAAATGATAAAATCCCACTCAATTTTTCACTATAACTGGGCATTGTTACCAGAGTCCAAAACAAAACAGTTCCTTTTCAAACAATTTATTTTCTTAGGACCATTTTTTTTATTGAAACCTTTGAGTTATTAAAACTAGGTCTCTCTCTCTCTCTCTATATCTATATATATATATATATATATATATATCTCTCATAGCAATTAAATTTATGATGTTTAATGATATCAATATATCTTACAAAACAGTTTATGTTTTACTAAAATTTAAAATTTTAAATAGAGTATGACATGAATTTATCTTGAAAAATTTAATTTCATGAATATAAGTTTAAATTTACTAATTACAGTAATATTATAGTTAAACAGACTAAATTGTTGTCAATAGCTACAGCAAATCATGGTCAGGATTCAACAAGCTTTCTGATGTAGTTTCAGTAACTATCAGACTTTATATATGGTGTCATAAATGAAATGGGAACTAGAGTTAAAAAAAATAGTCTGTTAAAATATGAATGTCATTCATAACTGGGGAAAATCTGACCTGAATGTAGGTTATGAATTTAATTTTAAGCAGCACCTACAATAAACAGAAAATACTGGTTTTTAAATTTTAGTACTTTGGTATCAGGCAAAATATTTGGCTATAAAATACATGCATAAAAATCTTTATAAAGGATAGATAACAGGATATTAATAAAATTCCACAAAAGCAAAAAAAAAAAGAAAGTTTAACAGAGTTGAATTTGTTCTTTCTATAAAAGAAATCCACAAGAAGTAACATTAAGATGGTGAGCTATTTTTCTTATTAAAAAATGGAATGCAGAGGAGAGAATATGTGTACATTTAAGTGCTGCCAAGTATGCTAAAAACAAAAGATATATATGAATTTCAATAGATGCAAAAAATGCAACACCTCTTAATACCAGTAAAATTCTACTTGAAAATTTCATACAGCTAAATACGTGTTCACTTTTGATATTTTGTAATTTGATGATTTTTTTTGAAACAACCTAATTAAACCAATGACTTTTAACCATTTTAAGTTAAAGTACTTTTGTTTTTGAAAATTTAAATCTATTTATTCCAGCAGAAAAGCCCAAGTAATGAAAATTGAAACCAAATTATTATAAATCTTAGGATTATTATTCTATATGCATAAAAGCAAATTTTATTAAAAAACTTGAAATAAGTTCCACATTACACAGTCACATTGATGTTTACAAAAGTTTCTTTGTTCATATTTAAAGAGCTTTTAACCAAATAAAAATAAATCTGTCAGTTGATGTTGTGACAACTGCAATATTAGTGCATATTTTTAAAAGTTGAAAATGTGTTGATAGTATTAACTGTAAACTGCCAATTTTAAAGCCACAATAAAATAAAATGTATTAATTTAAACAGAATTCAAGCTTAGTATTAAGTTGATTGGAAAAGTTCCTATCTTTCACACAATATTAGAGAAATTTTAAATGTGTATTTGAAGCTTATTTTTATTAATTGTGCAATCAATTCACTGTGTTATTCAAAACATAATTACTACTTATGAAAAATTAATATTTTTAAACATAATTATTAGTTATGAAAAATTAATATTTTTATGAGAATTTAAAACAATGAAAATCATAATTAGATCCAGGACAAACTTCAAAATCTCAACCTAAAAGGAAACCATGATACTTGGGGAGGGAATGTTTTATGCCTGGTGAAATTCAAAAAGAATTATTTATTATAAGTTCTTAGAAATTAGACAAACTGTTACTGTACAATATTGCAGTGAGCAATTGGGTAGTTTGAATGACACATTGAAAGAGATACAATAATAGTGAAAATGTTTTAATTATCAAAATTTGAAAATAAATAACTGATTACTCATTTTCAATGATCTTTGCAACTAAAAGAAAAATAAATAATTACTAATATTCATAATATTAATATATTATCATAGACAAACATAATATATTGTGTAGTACTTTTTTCTTACTGCTTCCATCAACTATTACTGAACTTAATTACCTGTTACCATCTATGATAAATAAAGTACAGGAATTAAAACACATTGCTAATAATAGTGTTTCCTTTAATGAATAGCTATAAAAATATTGATAACTGTTCTCTATATCTCGAAGAAAAATATGGTAACATTTTTGTAACACTAGTTATGTTCTATGAAATATGTATCCCAGTGAAAATAAAATTGCAAGAGTGTGAAAGATGAGGCCAATTTTGATCTGGATACCATATGTGGGGGGCTAAGGAATAATAAATATCCTGATAGAATTTTCAAAGTCTTCAGCAATCTTGTGATAATACTTATACCAATGCACCATCAATGTTTGAATTTTAGAAGACAACACATGCTGTGATAAGGTTCAGTGTGGTAAAAGAGTCCAGTGCAAGCAGGTGTCACAGGATCCTTTTATTTAATTAAAGTCATTTGTAAAGAATCAGATCGCTGGCCTTTAAGAGGCTGGATGGTCATTTCAGAGAATTATTATACATATTAATCATGACATGCCAATGGTATTTTGATGTTGACAACAGTGGTCAAACGAATGTTCTTATATGCATAGATGGATGGTTATGTAATACAGATACTCAATACATTGTAAGGACAACACTAGCAGACTACATACTGTCCATGACACAACTTGGAGCAAATATAACCAAAAGAGTGTCAACATGGAATCATTTCATAAATTTATGAAGGACTATAAATATGTTCTGTATAAAAATGCTACAAAGTGTTCATATTACCTCTGTGAGGCAGCAATAGTAGTTGGAGTACCTGTTTCTACTACTAGAGAAATAGTGTTATTTACTGCCATGATAGCAGATTTGGCAATATCCATTTTAAGAGCCACAAAGGATTTGACAGAAGGAGGAATTAGAAGGAAACTAGTAACTCTTGTTAACAGGTGTATTTTCTCAAAAAATGAGGATACCCAGAGGGGATAATGTGCTAACAATTCAGGGTCCAGCGCCATAGTTTCTTTGCTTTGACATATCCTAGTAGGTAAATGGTGTTTAACCTATAGGAATACTTATCATTGTTCAGTGTAAAGTTGTATTTTTCAACAACAGCCATGAACTACTTGAGATTGCGATCATGGTCAGTTTTGCCATGGCTGCATACTGTTATGTTGTCAATGCGGTTTCTCATTGGTTATTCAGGTCTATTTCTACCTGGTGATAGGTACTTTTGAGAAAAAGTGCTAAAACTTTTGTATTTGGCAATCTCATCAATGTGGGTCAGCAGATAAGCATCCAACTGTTTAAATTGGTTTATAGTTAACGAGTAGTTGTTTTATGTTATTTATAGAAGATGTTATCAAAATTGTACTCTCTTTCGGAATTTACTTTCTTTGATTATTCCTTCCCTTAGCATTCTGGATATTTCCAATTGAATAAATCTCTTCAGAAGAATATCTCCTAGATTTGATGGCTACTAGTTTACAGTCTAGTTAAATTATTGAAGAGGGGGGGGTCCAGTTCGAGACACCTAAAATGGAGTTTAACAGTGGAGTAGTGGTTGAAAATGTCATGACCCAGTATAGTATGCAACATAGGTCCAGCATTACTATTGTTGAAGTACTCTATTTTATTTGTAGTTTATCCAAGCAATATCACAGAATTTATGAAGATAATAAAATGTTTGCCATAGTTATTTTACTATAACAATGTGATTGAGATTTCTGAGTGTCCTTTATCAATTAAAGTATTGATATTTACCATATAAATTTTATCCTTCAAGATAACCTTTGAAAAGCATTTAGGAGACGTAATTGATAATATATTGACCATTAGCATCACCTGTGCTGCTTAACTGTGAGAAGAAATGGACTGGCAAACCTTTGAAAAATGACATTTTTTTTACGCTTGTGGCATATTGACTTTTGCACAAGACACGATGAATGGGCATGAGAACTGAAGTAACATTTATGCTGAGTCACAGCAGCAGTAACAGGTTGTTCGAAAGGCTGAGAGAAGCGTTCTAGAACTGTATGAATACGAGGGAGAGTTTTGAGCATAGGAGGTGGTGAAGCAGAAATGTTAGAGACAAAGTACTCTGAGTAGATAAAAAATTACAAATCTGTGGGAGTCCTGAGATAGGAGTAGATGAGCTACTGAGTAATAAGATAGCCTGATCATAAGGTCTAAAATTTTATTTTAAAGTAGCCTTTGTCTTTTTGGGGGAAACAATATTCTGTTAATAAAAAACGTCTCTTATAAATTTGTCCTAGGCTTGCTCCACTGTCAATGCCTTAAACTCACAGTCCCAGCTTAGTGTCATGGCCTGTAGGTAATGGATTAAATTTTCACCTGGTTGCTGTCATCTAGTGATGAGTAGATGACGAGCAAAAACTGAGTTTTTTTTCTTAAAGAAACTTTCCTTCTAGAATGCCAACAACAGTTTCATAGTCCTTGCAAGAAGAAATAGTTGTATAAATCCATGTGAAGACATGGTGAAATAATAATAATTTTTAGTCCCTGATATTCTCATTGATGAAGCCTTTCAGGATGAGAGAAAGCTGTTGAATAAAGTTTTGTTTTCAAGTGCTACCAACTATCAGTAGTATCCGAGTCAGATATATCTCGGTCAAAGTATCCAGGATCCAGATACTTGTTCATAATTGCTTTGAATAAAAATGGACAAACTTTTAATGAAGCTTTATTCAAAACATTTCAGCTACATATATGTGAGGTTCAATCATCACTTTTATAGTAGAGTAGCTTGAAGAGCAGACAACTCTAGTTGTCC